CTCTTCCTGCAGTATCAGCTTCCCAGCTGGAAAGGGGGGTAAAAGGAACCCCAGGGTTCTGTAGATAGAAGTGCAGAGGGACAGGGGATGGGGAGAAGTTGGAGGGGGAAGCTGCCAGCTGGGAAACAGAGAGGAGGCACTGCTGGATTCAGCAGCAGCAGTGCCAAGGGGCTTTCCCTGCTCTGTGACCCCCTCCTGGCTGAGCTCTCAAGAGCCCCCACCATCGAGGGCACAGCTCAAAGCCACAGGTACCGCAGGTGCCTCACATACCTGCCCCGATACAGGCACAGTCGAGGATCTGAAATAAAGAGTGGGGAGGGATGTGTGTGTGTGTCTCTGTGTATGTGTGTGTGTGAGGGGGCTCAAAGGCATTCCTGAAACCTGGCAAGGGCTCTGCAGCCCTGTGGGCAGGGCACAGGGAGGGAGGAAGGGCTGGGAGAGGTGTGCAGCTGCCGTCCTGCGGGGAGACAGGCACGCTCTGCCTGCAGCCTCCTCTCCCCTCACCGGGTCCTGCCCACTCCTCCTCCAACCCTGAAGCCATGTGCCACAGGGATTCCAAGCCCAGGAGCCTGGGGAACCCTCAGCTCGTTCCACAAGCGACAGGAGCAGGGCTGGAAGCCCAGAGAGCTCCCCTCTGAGCCGCCAACTCACCGGTGACTCCCCCATCACCCTCTCGCCGTTGTTGATCCTCATGACCCCCTTGCGCCCATTCCTCTCCAACAGGACGCTCGTCCAGGTGTTGAGGGGAACTGGCTCTTTGCTCCTGGGTGGTGAGAAGGGAGGAGGAGACACACAGGTGAGAGCTCTGCCATCAGCAGAGCACTGACAAAGCTCCCCTGAGCAGTCAGGGCTGCCCCCACCTCCTCACCTGAGCACAGCTGCCCCCTTGCCCAGGTCGTATCTGTACTCCAGGTACCCGTCGTGCAAGGCCAGGGACACGAAGTCCCCCTTGCCATCTGTCTTCTGGCCATTGTAGAAGATCATTCCACTCGGGTTCTTGGCCAGGAACACAACCTCCATGGACATTTTGTCCCTGAGGAGAGAAGGATTATGGATACCCTCCAAACCCCGCTGCCCCTTGTGCTCTGTTCCTCCATCCCCATGCACTGAGCCCTTGGAATAACTCTGCCTGCCCGGGATGCTGCTCTGTGGTGTCTCTTTACCCACCAGGCAGGCAGGTGATGCCCCCAGAGGCCCCCCATCCCATTCCCTGGCGCTTACTGCAGGTCAGGAATGAAGGTCTGCAGCCCATTCAGCTCCAGGTAGGAGAAGCCATTGAACTCCGGGAGGAAGGGCATGGTGTGGTCCTGCTCCGTCACTGGGCACAAACGAGGGAGTTTTGTGAGGGAGAGGAGGCCGAGCAGCTTCCTCAGCCAGTGCCCCAGCGGGCGAGGCCACTATCCCACCTGGGGGAACTGAACTCCATCCCCCCACCTTCCCCAGCCCCATTCCCGTCCCACCTCGCTCGCAGAAGTCTCCTTCCCGGCCCATGGGGCAGGCACACAGGGCACCTCCCTCTGGCAGCACCAGGCAGGTGGCAGAGACGTGGCAGGGCGAGGGCTCGCAGGGGTTCCTCTCGTCAGCGCACGTGGGCCCTGCGGCGGGACAGGCAGCTCGTCATCCCAGTGCCACCAACCAACCAACAAACAGCCAGAGACCAACACCCCTGCCACCTCCTGATACCTCCCCGGCCTCTGGCTGGGTTCCCGTGACCCAGGAAGCCCCTCAAAAAATGGCAGGTGATGCCCTTGGCCAACCACGCCCCTGAAGTGCGAGGGGATGTTATTTGGTGCACCAGAACCAAACAGGTCCTGGCCCTTCCGTGCACGTGAATGGGGGCACATCCCAAATCTACTGACTGCACTGCATGAGGCTTCATCCCCCACCTCTCCCTCTATCCCACTGCTGACACTACTGTGCTGACCCCAGAGGCTCTGGGATCCCACAGGACCCCCCCAGAAGCCCCCTCCCCGTACCGGTGTAGGTGTGGAGGCACTCGCAGTGGAACATCTCCGCCTCCTTGACGTGGCAGATGCCCCCGTGGTGGCAGGGGTTGGGGTGGCAGGGGTCGTTGCCACACTCGCCCACCCCGCTGCCGTAGAGGACGTCGCTGCCCTTCTCCCTCAGGTCGTACATCTGGTTGTTCACGTCCAGGAGGCGGATGCAGCCCTTGAGGCCCGTGGTGGCCGTGGTGTGGTCTGCCACCCTGAGGGGGGGGGCAGAGCACACGGTCAGCTGGGGGTTTTTGGGTCGCTCCAGGCGTCTGGGTCAGGCTGTGCTCCCCCACAGGGCACCGATCACGGAATGGTTTAGGTTGGAAGGGATCTCTGAGATCGTCGAGTCCGATCTGTGCCTGATCGTCCCCACCTTGTCCCCCAGCCCAGGGCCTTCCTTGGACACCTCCAGGGGTGGGGACTTCACTCCCTCCCCAGGCAGCTCCTTCCTATGCCTGAGCACCCTTTCTGTAAAGAAATTCCTCCTGATGCCCAACCTGACCCTCCCCTGGCACAGCTGGAGGCCGTTCCCTCTCCTCCTGTCCCTTATTCCCTGGGAGCAGAACCCAGCTCCCCCATCCTGTCAGGGAGTTTCAGAGCCAGAAAGTCCCCCCCCTGAGCCTCCTTTTCTCCAGGCTGAGCCCCCTCCAGCTCCTCACAGGATACTCCAGACCATTCCCTGTTTCCATTCCCTTCCCTGGACTCACTCTAGCCCCTCAGTGTCTCTCTTCCACTGAGGTACCTCACCCATACAGACAGATAATCAATTCAGAAGCCCCCCCAGACCCCCTGAAGCAGTGACAGCCCCACACTCACACGGCCATCTGGTCATCGGGCGCTCCCCCAATGAACAGGTCCGTGTCCAGGTTGAGCCCGTCGGTGCCCGGGGGGCTCTCCCCGCTCACGTGGGGCTCCCCATCCACCGAGAGCATCCCGCTGCGCCGGTTCCTGTTCACCACCAGCTGGTGCCACTTGCCCGGCTCCACACGGACCTTGCTGGTGATGACGCCCGTGCCAGAGCCCGTGTTAAACCTGCAGGAGAAGAAGGGAGGGGGAGGGAGGGCCGTGTTTGTGTCATCCCCCAGAAAGGTGACATCTCCCTCCCTGCCCCACTCTGCCCTCAGAGCACGCTCTGTCCACCCCTGAGCGTCAGGACTGCCTGAGGACTCATCTCCTCCAGCTCACCTCCTTCCAAAATCTGTCCCTTTGGCTTTCAGAATAGAAAAAAAAAATAATAAAAAACCCCACATTCCAGCTCAGATTTCTTGGGCCTTTCTCCCTTTTTTTTCCTCCCCTTTTTTTCTTTTTTTTTTCCACCTGTGTTTCTTTTCTTGGTACAAAAATAAA